AGAGGGTGAAAGGATGGTGTGGGGAAGCTGCATTTTCACAAATATGAAGCGGGACAAGTGGAGTGGAGTGGAGTAGACAGGCACAGAGGGTTCAAAGACTAGACTGCATTGCATAGAGAAAGGGTAAAACCTTAGCATGAACTCTTCCTATACTCGCTCTCTTCCTGTATCAGCTGGGATGTGTGTGTGTGTGTGTGTGTGTGTGAGAGTGAGAAAGATGGTTTGACTCCATGATGAGAAAAACACCAGCATATAAATGCCATTCAAACACATAAAGTGGCAGAACATATGGGAGATGGAGATAACTTTGTAGCAAGAAGCGACAATTGCTGCTGTGAGCATAATGCATCTTTGATACAGTATAGCTCTGGTTGGGTGAGACCTAAGCACACTATTGTTTCCATACTATATCTGTGGGGGATAAATTCCTGATAGCATATGGGACATATTACTCTGCCGCTGGTTCAAACAGGGAACAAAACAACAGAAAGAAGGGCACTGCATAGCTCGAGAAACCCTGGGGCTTTGAGACGAGTCAATACACATGCCATGCTTTCATCAAATCTGTCCCTGGATAATCTTCTAATGAGATAATGTACGTTTGAGTGTAATGGTTGCAATAAAATGGGAATATAATTTAGTTGTTTTCATAAGAGCATTTGCTCTGATAAGATTAAGAAACTGTACGTAGGAAGACATTTGCACAAAATAATGTTCAGAATGTTTATTACTAGGAAATTTGATAAGTCAAACTCCATGCTTTCACCAAATAGAATGTTTTTTTTGCCAGTAATGATTAATAAGTAGCTCTTTCCTGTAGTTTACTTCAAACATAAAAGGTTGATAAAACAAAAGGAATCACTTACTTCTGTTTAAAAACAATTAAAAAGAACCTTTAGAATAATAACCATGTTGCATTTTAATAAAAAGGAAGGTAAAGCAGTGGTTATTTGTTGTTGTTTTTACAGCTGAATAATATATGCTAAAGGAGCTCTATAATACTCAGGCCTGCTTGGCTTCCCTTTCTCAATTCCTCCCAAACAGCTGTTGACATCCATCAATAGGGAAGTCCAAGTACCTCTGCATATCTGATTAGTCCATTGACCGAGTGAAAAGCCAAAGGCACGTAAACACACCATCAGACACCAGCATCAAAAGCTCCCGTATCAAAGTGAAGAAGAAAACGGAGGAGAGGTCATTTGATCTACCGAGAAAAACATCCAAGAGCCTATGACATTGTCAGAGTAGGACACGCCGTAAATGTGTGTGAAAAAAAAACTATCACCAGTGTTTGTTCAGTTTGGATCCCTTCCCACTGTAGGATTTCACACACATGCGTACACACAAGCATTAGTGTGCATGAATACTGTACACACACTCAGGAATACAGGAAGGGATAATTTAATGTGCCCCTGAGCAAGCATGCAATGTGTGTATTTTTGAGTGTAAAACAGAGACCAACATAAGAGTGTGTGGTTTTACAGTGGGGTGTTTTTTCTCCCAGCCTCCCAGCCGTCTGCTGCACGGAGGTAAATGATTGCATATTTATTGTGGGGAGTGAGCAGTGTCGGCAGAAGTGTTGAAGAAGCGGCATGATTAACTGCTGGAAAGACGCGCGTACCAGTAATCATCACCATTATTGGCCTCATTAATCATATTTTTTAAACCATTGACGAGACTTGCCTTACTTATCTAATTTTTATCAACCTACCCTGCTTCTCTTTTTTAACCTTCACTCCAACATTTTAACCTGCTCCTATGTCGCTACAGCAAGTAGGTGTCCTCCCTTTTCCACATTCCCATGGTGCAGCAGTGCGCAGCCCATGGTCCCTGCACGGGCCACTGCAAACGGAGAGAGTGAAGGTTAATTATGTTGGAGAGTCTCTTTCCTCCCCTCTCCTTCCTCTCTCTGTCTCCCTCGCTTTCCCTCGGTCCCCTCACGGCATGTGGGCCCGGCTCCGCTGCTTCACAATCAGCTCTCTGTTTGTCTCTTATAAACAAAGGGTATGCTGCTCATAGAGAGAATATGTTAGCAAAAGCCACTCACCCTAGTTTAAAATATCTGCTGATTAAAATACGGAAACTTGAAATATTACATCCCTTTGGTTTATCGTTGACAGTTTCCTTGTGATGTATTTTGCAGAGAATAAGAAGAATTTTTGTTCTTAGATAAATAACACAAGCACACTGTCTGTTTGTAGATAAAATTTTTTTATTTTTTAATGTGATATTTAACGTCTATGCACTCATTTATTTGATGTTCCTCAAATCTTTGTATGTAGCTATACTGTTGAACAGACTGAAACAATGCAAAGTATTTATAACAGTGACAGAGAGTGATAAATGCTACAAACACTCTTGTCCTCCCACTTGCACCTAAAACCTCATAACACACGCCAAATGACAAGAAAGACAAAGAACCACTCGCGTCAGTTTAATACCACTCAGCCTTCCATCTTATTTACACATTATGAGTCATTTAGAATACATACACACACGTATACACACAAACTCACTGACACAACAACAAGGGCAAGGGCCATCAGATGAACCTAAAGATGATTAACGCCGACTGGGACAGGCATACTCTCACTCTACCTCCTCTGCACAGTGGGCTCTCTAGAGGCCTCCCCCATCTTTTGGGCAAAGATGGGACTGTCAAATTGGTTTGCCAGCCACATTACTGGCCAACAGGGAGGGAACGATGGAGAGGGGGGGGGGCACTAAGGAGCTGGATTTTGGGGAGGAAAGATAGAGCGTACTGAAGTGGACTGATGGAGGTGGAGGGATGGAGGGGAGTGGGAAATGGGGCAGAAAGTCTAAATTTGATAAATGAAGGCATAAGTGCATTATGCCCACTGTGTGTGTGTGTGTGTGTGGATTCAGCTGACTTATTTTGTTTATTTAGGGCATTGCTAACACAGGAGTTAAATGCAAATGTGTGTGCAAATTATTATAAACTGGGCTCTTTTTCTCCTGTTCAGCTTTGAGATGAAATAATTTCCAAATGGTTAGAAATGATATACCATAAAGTTACCTTTTTCTTCCCTTTATTTTATTTTCATATATCTGTAAAATACACTGACAGACTGTAGTATTAAATGTGAATATTTTTCATTAGATGTTGTTGTAATATTCTAACAATGTGGTGTGCATTTTGATTGTTTAAAATGGCTACTGTAGCTAATAGCTCAGACTACTTACTGCATGATATTTAGCATGTTTGACTTTAATATCTAAAAACTAAGGTAGCCATGGTTAACTTAGAGCTTATTAGCAGTGAGAAGGTGTTGTTATAGAGATGGAGACATGTTGCAAAGGACCTGCCTACCTGAGCATCATCAACAGCATCCTGAACTTCAGGTTTAATTGAGCAAATGTGGCCCCTCTTGATGTCAAAGCCCATTATCCCTGCAGAAATTGTGCCCATCTAATTATATATTATATATCACTGATTTAGGCATATTTCTTAATTCACTCAGGCCTCTAACAGGCAAGCATCCACACATATATTTGACAAGACAGGGATACAGCGCCACAGACATTGAATTATGACTCCCATATTTTAGCCATAAGCTAACACCATATGGGTGCAACTGTACTATCAAAGGATAAAAAAGAACAAAGGATTTATATAGTCCTTTTGATCGAAGTCCCACTATATGGAAGTAGTATATTTTCTGTTCACACACATACACACGCGCACAAACAGACAAAAGCAGTGCATGCAGTGACAGCCACAGCCAATCGATTTGCCACGCTCTCTCTCCTCAATGCTGACGATGCTTGAGTGGACGGGCTCCTGGTTGCCTGGTTCACAGAAAAGGGTCCCTCAAATGAATGTATTTTTACCTCTTGCAGGACAATGTCGGATAGGGAAGTAAATAATTAAAGGAAAGGGACCCTTTTTGACTGCATCAACCCTGCCACTGCTGGTAAGCTCTACTATCCATTGTGACTCCATTTTTGCCCGTCCTGCTAAGGATGACCGTTTTCTTTTCTTTTTTTTTTTAAGTTTTTGTTTTGTTTTACACACATGTGCCCTCCCTGCATGGAAACCCCTCACATTAAAAGGCACTGAGTGTTTGCATATTATTCTTATTTGATATAAGTGCTGACCTGATATGAGAGGAATGGGCCATGTGTATGTCGTATCTGATATCGGTCATTAGTTGCTTAAGTTTCCTTTCTGTATAATGCAGTTTTGTTGTGACATGTGTGCAGTGGGTCCCCTTGTTTTCCAACTTGGCAACTGTGAAATTGGAAGGAAAAAGCACTGAATTCGATTTTTCAAGCCCATTCCACCTTGCATCCTTTAGCATGGCTTTGTACGCTAACTGAAATCCTCACTAATCGTATCCTGGCTTAAGCATGGCTCTTGTTATTTAGTTTCTTTCATCAGCTGTAGCATACTGTGTGATACAGTTTGCCTTGTGTTTGGGAAAAATGCCCATCTTAATTAAATCCAGGACTACATAAAGACATGTTCATTGAGGTGCTCGATTAAGCCACCTCCAATAGGGAACGAATGCGATAATGCTGTCAGGGCCTAGTGCTAATATGCTATCCAGTTCCCCTCGATTATCACATTACCACAGCTCGAATCAATTGATAAACTCCCATTCAATATGGTGGAGTATTTAATTGAGTCAGAGTCTATTGGATTTGAGGGCTGTGCAGTACAGACATGCTGACAGCGGTAAACACTAGCAGGATGCTCTCTCTCTCTGCGATCTTAGAGCACTTTTTCTGAGGAGAGCTGCAGGGTGAATTTCTGTCTCTGTGTGACTGTGTACCTCAACTGATAGCAGCAATAATTACACATAGTGGTTCATAGATATTGAATATTTGTAGCCTGCTACCATTTGACAAAAATAAGATGACAATATGAAAAATACGTTATTGTAAATACAAAGCTATTTTGTATCTGAGAAGTAATGTATGTTCCTCATACACTGGCAGCATTCTGATTTACAACTCTGACTGTCTCCCCACATTAGGCACAGCTCCAACATCAACCTGCACCGCAAACTGCTGACCAAAGAGCTGGACGACATTGTCCTGGACCCCCAACTCACGCCACTGCCCAAGGACCTGCGAGCCGAGTTACTGGCCAAGATCTACGCCGGGCACCACATGGGCTTGGACCCTATGGCCGGGATGGGCATCGGAGGCGCCAGCCTCGGGCCCACTGGCCTGAACCACAATGTCCGTTCCCCCATGAGCATCGAGTATCCCCACCACCCTCTCAACCAAAACCTTAAAAACCACCACACCAACGGCTTCTCCCGGGGCCAGCCAGATGAGTACATGGTGTTGGACCTGAGCACGACATCTAGTGTTCAATCCAGCAGCAGTGTCCACTCCTCACATGAGTCAGACGAGGGCAGCGATGAAGGCATCCTACTGGATGACCTGGAGGAGGAGGGAGAAGAGGATGAGGAGGAGGGCAACAGTGAGGGGGAGGACTGCTCCCGGCGTGCTGAGGGGCGGGCTGAAGGGGGGCATCGGGATGAGACTGGAGAACTAAGAGGAGAAGGACATGGTGAGAGGTTGGAACCTTCCTCCTCACCATTCCTCCTTTCGTCCACCGGGGGCAGTAATTGTGGCAGCAGTGGGATCCTCTGCAACATCTGCCACAAAATGTACAGCAACAAAGGGACCCTGCGTGTGCACTACAAGACTGTGCACCTGCGCGAGATGCACAAGTGCAAAATCCCCGGTTGCAACATGGTGTTCAGCTCTGTGCGCAGCCGTAACCGACACTCTCAGAACCCCAACCTCCATAAAAACATGCCCTTCTCTACAATAATAGACTAAATAATGACTTGCTACTCTACCCTGCTGTCAGTCTGCCCGCTCCTCCCTTCATTCCTCATCCTTATTCCTCCTCAAATTAGCTTTTAACCCCAGCCCAGGGCCATCAAATACAAGCTAAATGCCTGTATGCCTCCTGCCCGTCCTCTGTAAGTCATTGTAAGACATTTCTATGTCCCTCTATAAAATTCATTGACTCTAAATACAGTTTATTATTGTGACCTTTGACTTTTCCTTCTTTGGAAGAACAGGATGACGCTCTTGAGCATGGAGTTTACTTTATAACAAAACTCCAGTTGTTTTTTTTCATAAGCCCCTCCATCTTTCCTTTCAAACATCATCCCCACTTTGTTTTTATGTCCGTCTCCAAAGAATCTATTCAAACTCTTATTTGTGACTTTGCCTGCAGAAATGATAATATTGAAAAAAAAAGAAAATCTTCTTGTTGTATTTGTGTAATTATAGCTTTTAAATGAACCCCTTACAAAAGCATGACAGCTTCATTTGTAAATAATGTCCCAAGAGGCTTTTGATGTACAAGAGTTGTGTTGATGGTTGTTTGCTTCTTTTTTCTCTCTCTTTATGGTTTTATGTTACAGTCCAGTACAATACTTCCAGCTATAGGCAAGACAGAGGTAGCATCTTACTAGCTTGACTCACTTATGTTAGCTTCAAAGACACATTTTAAACTGAGTCCTAGGAAAAAAAGAATATCATGTGGCTTGTTTTATCTACTTGTTAGATATTCAGAGGTTGCCGGCATGCTTTTTTAGGCTCCTACACTGATATCATTCTCTGTATTTCTATTGATTTTTTTTTTGTCTGTTATGTTTATGAGCTTTAGTATACCAATTCAGTTTTTGCACTTTGCATCTATACAAGGGGATGTGTAATATTATTATGAGGACTTTTGCAATGGTAAGTTTAGGTGTTGTTTGGGGTCATTGATGGCTACAGTGCCAAGGGAAATGACAGTACCTTCAAAATACTTGTGCCAGTTTCTTTTTGCACGTGCTCATTTTCACAGTTTGACAACAGAAAACATCTTGAACAAAACCTGAGATCTTCCCCCATTGCTAAACAACGTATCCAGAGAGTGTCTTGCTTCAAAACAAATCCAGGTGTGACTGAATATACACTGCTCTTTCACAAAGACAGAGGAGTTAAATATCAAGTCTCTCTCTCTCTCTCCTCTTTGTGTAAGGAGTAATTTGTGTATGGTTGCCAATTATGATCACAATACTAACTTCAGAGTTATGGAAGGGGGTAATCTGTGTAAAACTCACATTGGCTCACAAAAGGCGTCTTAATGAAACATGATTGTCCCATAGATTTGAAAAACAATGAGAAAAGAGATGAAAATAGTCCTTTAACTGTGACCAAAACAAAAGTGTTTGCTTAAGCAAAACTCTTTCAGTGTGACATTGTACTTAAATCGTGCCCCATTGGATTAATATGATGCACTTCAGTCTTAAATCTTTTGCTGTGATATTTTCGGTATCGGTTTCCATTGCTGAGTGTCGGCTACAAATGTACTCTATGAAAAGTGTTGCCATTTTGCTGGCTGTAGGTTGCAGCCTTTTTTAATATGTCCATGACTGTCTCACGGTACAAATATTTCCAGTAACTGGGCAAAAGTAGCCAAGGGAAGGGGTATTTATTGGTGGGTGATGTATCTTCATGGAGATGTTTTTGTCCAGTATAAGAATATTTTTTGTAAAAAGACAAAAAATAGAGATTGTTCCTCAGTTTGACTTCTGTATCAATGTATTAGCAATGCCATGTGTTACTATACAAGGAGATCTTCTCTTACTCGACTGGTGCTACACACAGAGGGAAAAATATGCAGTGTTATGTGGTGTGCTGTACAGTATTCACAATACCCTACATCCATAACAGTGTTGAGTTCCATTTGTTTCATACTTAAGCCATTTTGCAATATAGACATGACCTATTCTAGTGAAATATTTCATGTCCTCTTTTTTTAAGACTCCACCTATATGACACATGCAGTTTTCAGTCCTCTCTTCTCGGAGATAAAGAGAGTGAGACAGAGAGCTGAGGCTGATGGAAAGGTTGCGGAGGTGGAAGGCTGACTAGGGAGGAAAGGATGACAGCAACGATCATTAAAAATGTGCTGCTTCTCCGTTACCTGGAGGCGTCCCTGCCATTCCAGCTTCTTCTGTCTAATAACTCACTTGTCACTTCGTTACACTGCCAGACGCCAAGGTTGCTGACAAGACTGTGACACTGACAGAAAGAGAAAAAGAAGGAAAGAGATTGTGTGCTCTGAACAATTCAATTTGACTGACTCAATTTAGCTGAATTCAATTCATCTATTCATTTTCTGTGTGCCTATTTTTATTCAGGGTCACTAATAATTCAATTCAATTCCTTTCTCTCATTCTGTTTTTCTCTTTGTCTGTCAGAGCACAGTCATTTAACAACCGCCTTACCCATTTCTTCAACCCGCCACTCACTTACCACCTCCACACCCCACAGCGCAGGTCCTACAGGGACACACACTAATAGTGTATGCTTAAGTTCACCGGACGGCCATGGCATAGGAAAAAGGGATGGGTAATTGCCTGTTTATCCCAAGTGAAGGGAAAATTGAGTACAGGAACCCCTGCCTTCTCCCAGGAGTGGGTTTCACTGAGGCGCTTGCTGCCTCATTCACTCATTCAATCCCCCCGGCCCTCACTCTGGCAGAAATAAAAAAAAGTGCTACTCCAGGAACCCTGCTGACAGCTGTCTCTCTAACACACAACCATACAAACGCACACACATGCACACAGAGGAGAGTGGCGCACACTCACATATGCTTCCTACTTACAGGCCAGAAGGATGACAAGAACTAGATGACTTGTTAACCTCTCGTGATGGAGGAGACAGGGGCAGAGAAAAATAGAGAGTATTCTCACCACAGGAAATGAAACTCTCCATCTACCATTAACATTATAGCTGCTGCCACGACACAGAAAGCTAACATTCCATTATGGAGATTGGTGTGAGCTAGTATTGAGTCAGACATGAAAAGTCCAACGCTATTAATATTATTATTTAATTTAAACATCCTAACATATCTAACAGCTAATGATTTGGACATTTTACCTATAAAGGATAGTGGCTAATTAAATAAATCTATCAAAAAGGCCAGCAACCTCACAGATTGACTCGACCTCTGTAGAATTAAGAGAGCTGTGCCCAACATATCAAATTAATATAAATGTGCTCTGACCAATAACCTCAGCTTCGATGCCCTTCTTGATTTGAGAAAACCAAGTTTTCAGAGTTGTTTTTTTTAGACACAAACACATTCTTTATTGTCCTGTTCCTTGCTGTTCATTTCTCAAGCAGCAGCTGCAGTGCATGACCTCTCTAGAAGTGTACTGAATATGACAGAAGAGATGCTCTTGCAACACCCTTCTCTTACGGGCTCGGAGTCCTGCACGGTACTGGTCATGCCAGCAGGGCTAAGAGCTGAAAAAACATGCAAACGACTGTCCAGCATAGCCAGGCAGACAGACGGCAAGAGAGAGAGAGAAGGAAGAGATGGTGGAGAGGGATTGGGCTTAGAAAGTTGTCTGGCTGGAGCCTTGCGGCAGTCACTTAACAAGGCAGGGGAGAAAGCGAGGAACACAGGGAGAGGAGAGAGCAAGAGAGCAGCAGGGCCAGGACTTCCCAGGACTCATTGCCAACTTCTTTTTGATTGCCTGCTGGAGAGCGATCGAGCCACCCCTTACATTTCCACCCCTCTCCCGTGCACTTTCCTCTCCTCTGAGAAATGACCACCAATTTCCCCCTCTCCTCTAAAAAAAACCCCGGAATCCAATCTTTGTCTTTTTTACTTCTCCAACCACACAGGCCCAGGTACCACCTGCTACCTAGTGACTGGGCCGTGGATCCGCAGGAACACGTCACTTAGAGCAGCCTCTTTGGCCCAGACCACTGAGGTGAATCTTTAATATTTGATTAGACAAGTGTCAAGCATCAATTATTCTGTAATTCTACATAGCACGCAGAGGGTGAATGGGATGGCAAACGGTTGAAGCGCCTGACCTGTTAACCACTGTCCATTTTGTTCTCGTCACAGAGTGAGTGAGTACAATAGGTGTAAGTAGAGAGGTGACACCGCATGCAAACTGTCCAGTTAATGTAGCTTGTGGAACAAAGTGGGATTAAACGATGGGACATCGAAAGAAGTATGCAGATAGAAGAAAAATACACACATATGTGGGTTTGTATAGATGCTTCAGTCTCATGTGTTATGTTCTAAAAAAAAAAACACTCATTAATCTGAACTGGAACCTGTGAAATGTCAATGATCCTGATAAAAAAAAAAAATACTGTATATTCATATAATGTTTTCCATTGTGCCAATTATATTTTACAGTCTTAAAATATAAATAAGCTTGAAGACCTGGTGAATTTAGATTTTTATTTTCACTTGTGTTTTTGTGTATCCAATGCATTTGTGTCTGTGTCTTTAAAAGCCTGTGTTATGGCACTGGCACTCAACAGCGTTGCATGGCTACATAGTCGCACTGCAAAGAACAACACTTTGGTGTCAAAATGGTGATTTTGAAGCCTCATGAATACTGTATGTTACCTAAACAGGTGTTTCCCATTTGCAGACAGGAGGAAAAAAAAAGGTCCTCTTTTTAAAAGACTCTTGTTTCTTTTTTTTCTTTCTTTTTTGCCTTTCTTGTATTGTTTCTGTATCATAACTCTCTATGGTTTTTGCATAAAATGCATAAGGGTTTTGGGATGTAAATGGAATTTTATTCATATTTTGTCCAAATACCTCTTGTAATTTGTATCAGAATTCTTGTACAATTTTTATATTAAAGATTTATCAGTCACTGGCATTTTATCATTACATTTTATTCAAATGGACCTAGACTTATAATCACTCTATTGGGTTATTTATAAAATTGTATCTTAAATAGCTTGAAAAGACACCATTCTCTATAAAGCAGAAAGAAAATTACAGAGCCCGAAAACAATGTGTCAATCAAGCCATTTTAAGGCACTGTGATTTCAGCAGGTTTTACTGGGCTCTTTAATTACCCTATGATAAAAATCACTTGGGAAAAGGCTATCTTGACCAATTAGTGGACGATTAGATTAATAGAGTTATTAAAAGATGTACTGGCATGAGGAGAAGGTGCTGCTGGTCTTAGCAAATTAGTAAGATGGTCACTCAAGGAGGGAAACAAAGGACATACAGCACCTTTGTCTGATCATATGCTTAAATTAAATTAAATGGACTACTAAAGAAACTGCTGCTTTTCGGGTGAAAAATATATATTAAAATGCACTTAAAATTGGCTTACATTTTTTTGTACAACATGATGAAAACCAGAAATGCCTTTTATAAATGACAAAGCTTTTTCATCCCTCTATGAAAGCAATATTTTCATTTATAACTCTACATAAAATTAACATCTTTGAATATTTACAGAAAAAAAAGTCAAAGAAAAAATACTTAAAAAATGGAACAACGATGTGACACTAAAGACAGAAATTGACAACGACAACGGACAAATGCAGGGTCATTTTGCAAAAGCGACCTGTGCTGACATCATTTGCTGTGACTGGGGGTCAAATTACAAATTGATATGAGCTCCAGCAGGGATGTCATGTTTGCTCTGGTAACCAACAGGAACATAATGCCTCCTCCCTCCCCTCTGTGAAAGTGAAGGAGTGACAGAGGCCTTACTGACCTTGAATTAGACACCATTGCTCTTTGTCACACACCAGTTCCTTGATCCCTTGTCATTGTTGATAGCTGCACAACACTTGCACACACATATTTAAAAATAATAGAGCTGGGTGGTATTGATTATATGCAGGGTTAGTAAAAGATAGTCTCACAGATATCCTCAGCCACCCAACTTAAACACACACACAAACACAAACACAAACGCGACGATCTCCCACCAGGGAGGCGGTGGGCGCTGTCCGCTACTAGGCTGACCTCCCCGCTACATAACTGAGCGTGTTTCTGACGGCGGCAGGTCATCGATTGGCCTGACAAACACACTGGCCCTCCGCTGACCTTTGAGAAGCAGAGCTCTTTGCTGTCGGAGAATACATAGAGACAAACACACAGAGAGAGAGAGACAGCCAGGGCAAGCTTTGTTGTGTCTGAACTGGAAAGGATGCTGCCAGGGGTGGAGAGGTTGACAGGGCAAAGATGTCCATCAGTCCATCTGTCTGTGTATCTGACCTTAGAGTCAGTCCACTGAAGAGCCTTTGTCTGTCAATGGCATGCTGGATGAGTTTTTAAACCTTGAAGTTTAAATGTTATATTTCAGAATTAGGTTTCCAAAGCAGCGAAGCAAATTGGAATTACATTACAGCAGCGTTCGGTATGGTTGACTTACAATAAGATATCAGTTTGGCTATTCAAGCATTGTAAACCTGTGCAGACCAGTGCTTCACAGACAAAAAAAGACAAATCACTACCTCCCATTCACCTTCACATTTACGGGCAAGTGCAATATATAGGACAAATAAATGGGACACAGCTCTCTTTTCCAGCCACACGCAGCAGTGAAACTCAAGCGACTGAGATATGGCTACATGTTACAGAGGTTATTTTAAAAATTCAAATGAAAGCCAATGGTGCCTGCAGAGTGTTTCGGTTGCATATGTCTACAAGTAGCATGTACCGTCTCCAGTTCAACAGACTTGCATGTCTTTTCACTGTGGAAGGAAGCCAGTGCTGTCAGAGAGAACCAATTCCAATGCAGAGAGAACATGCAAATGTCATTCAATGGGGGGCTGAAGATGAATCAAACTGTAAAGGGAAAGTTTTAACTACTTAGACACTGACACAGCATGCCACCCTACGAGACTGTACAATTACACACACACACACTGTATATATGTAGTCAAATTGATATATATTTGTTATTTGTAAATCATTTTATGAAATCAGCTGTTGCCATTCTCTTAGCTAGCAAGCATCAGATATTAGATAATGCTGTTAGCCAACTAGAAGACAGACTCACTATCCATTTCAGACACAGAACCTATATACCATTTTGTCATTACACTTTCTGCTGGTTAAAAGGACTTCAAAAATCAAAAAAGCTATGGTAATATCAAGCGACAACCTCCATGGCTTGCAAATGAAGCCAACAAGGAAGTAACAAAAACTGCAGTTCCTTGAAGTGAGAGTGATCAATCTCCACAACGCCACATATTAAAATGTCCAACTTTAACATTTTTATATATAGTCATCTGTTTAAATTCTATTAAGGCTTAAAGTTATGCACATTATTATATTATATCTATATATTAGGACATGGCCACTTTGAGTGACAGGTGGGTGCCGTCACAGGCGGCTGTTTTCAGTAATTAGGTTTCTTCTTTACTCAGGGAACATCACTGAAAAACAAGGGTCCTAAAGCATAAAATTATATAATAATCTTTCAGACCAATTGTCTATGTGATTTTTTAATGCAAATGAGAGCTTATAAGGTATGGAACTAAGAAACTAAGAAACTGCACAAAGGTCATCTACCCCTGGGAGCAACTGAAAAACACTGTTGTTGTTTTTTTTTTTCAATCAACACTTCACTTTTAGAAAAACTTTTTTAAATCTATAAGCCATATCAATAGTATATATCAGTCAATGAAGGCAGTATGAAGTAGTGACCACAGTAACATCAAGCAGACAGTATTCCAATACTTCTCTCAAGGCTCATGGAAAACAGTAGGTGCCTCTATATGTAACTGTCAGAGAAAACACATACAGACAAACAATTCTCGAGGTAAAATATAAAAACTCAGATTTTCAAATGGGATTTCTGATTTTTGTTTCTTCCAACATGTCACATTTATCTTCCAAAAAGGTACTAACACCCATATACTCACACACCGTCCAGTCACTGCACTGAAGGCAGAAATCAATTTTCATTGAGGGCTAACTGATTGTAATTGCAGACTATAATTAGAAGGTAAATTACCAGAATTTAGAAGGAAACAGCAGAAAAGATTTTATATGTCGCTGCTTTATCACAGAGCTGCTAAATTTAAATCTCCATGTTTAATCTAACAATGAACAGAGGCACTTCTTTCAACTTTTTGACGGGTGCAATACATAATTATATTAAAAGAGACTGGATGACTGTGAGCAGAAGCACTTATACATGTTAGTGAATTGCTGAGGAAATGTGGAATTAAAGGGAATAAAATAGATGGTGACTCCTGAATTCTTATAAAAACTCATCTGTGGTAACATGAGCCTTGGCTGGGATGGACCGCATACACGTATAAGACTTTTTACTGGGCCTTATTGATTTGGTTCTACACCAGTGAGGCCTGCAATGCTGGCTAATGCTATTGACGAGCCATCAGTCTTGTCCAGAAGTGTGGAGGCATGCAGCTCTTTTTCCAAGACCAACCAAGGAAGGAGAGAGGAAGAGGAGAAAAGAAAGAGAGGGGAAAAACATCAATGGACAGTGATGGAGAGTGGGGAGGAGGGCGAAGATGCAAGCACAGCAGACAGACTCAGACCCCTGTCCATGGTTTGGGAACACTAAATTAGAAAAAAGACAAAAGGGATGAGAGAGGGAGAAACTGTAAACAGCCGCATCGATCCAACTAGTGTTGGGCAAATCAAACCATTACAGCCAGAGTCTCATGCCCCGGAGTTGAGGGAGATAGTGTGAATATCTATACACTTCCCTAGTGAAGAGAGAAGAAAAGTTTGCACCAGCACACACTGGATCTCTTTTAGAATTGTTGGACTTACTAACTCTTTAGTCTTCTTCACCCGCTAAATAATAAGGCGCAAGAGCAGCAAGACAGGAAGGGGTTAACGCAGAAGAGGGTGGAAGGGAGGATGAAAAAAGCCCTCTGGCAACCCAGGGACAGAGGGAACGCTGAACTCATCACAAACCCCTCTCCTGGCGTCCGCCAGCACATAATGACCCCAACAAGACGGGAATCCCTTTTAATTAAAGTGAAGGGAGATCAGTTAAGCAGATGGTTGCCGACAAATATTAGGGGAAATAGAATGTTTAATGGTCTGTGCACTTATCGCAGGCTATTTTCCACACCCAGCCCCAAACTGATAAACAGGACAGAGCCTTGTTAATCAACCTTACAACCTTTAAAGCCCAAGATAAGAGAATAATTCGGGATCTTTGTAAATTAGCTTGAGATGTGGCTAAGACTCTGGCCCCTTGCGTACTCAGGGCCAGACTGTCGAGGAGGGAGAAGAATTTCTATCAGTGTAATAGCCTTGTGCCATGGTGAAGAAGTTTGGGGGGAAAAGTACTTTTTCCAGGGGATAGAGATATTTTTTCTGGTATTTTTCTTGAGTTTTTTATTCCCCTTGTGGTTTGACCCTCTTGCCACCACCCTACTGCGCTCTTATCAGTGACACAAGAGAGTCACCCGCCTCCGTGGAAATAATCTAAACAGAGAGGCGGGGAATCTGCAGCCCGAGCCGGTGGCCTGTGTGAGCAGGTTAACGGGCCTTCACCCCTCTAAGTCAGACACAGGTGGGGGTGGCCTGTGTTTATTTTGCAGATGATGGATTGAAGAGGAAGGGATTATCGACAACAGTAGCAGCCACGTGAGAACAGTAGCAGGTACTATTTTTCTATATAAAGCCTTATACAGGAAAAAGTTTAGACAGCATACTGCAGCTATTTCGTGTGACTGAAGGCTCTTGACGTTAATCTGATATTCTAACTAATTCAATTAGTGTATATTAAAGCACCATAGTTTAGTGTTTTGCTTTGTTGTTGTTTTTCCCAGTCAAGTGCTTTCAGTTCCTCAAAAAAAGGAATGGGGACTCGAGTCATTGTAATCCAATATTAAAATCTCAACCCAGACCATT